ATTGGACGGCCACTTTTGTCTGTTCCTTATCCACAGGTTACATCAATATCAGCCGCCTGGAGCGACATCAATGAGTGGAGCACATAAAAAAAACGTTTTTGGAAAAGGTTTCAGATAGACTATGTTTCTCTGCTGCAGTATAAAACCAAATGGTGTACATCTACAGGACAGTTGTCTGAAGGATCGCTCGTCCTTATCAAGGAGACGAGACAACCGCCACTGCTGTGGCCATTGGGTCGAGTCACAAAGGTTTTTCCTGGCATCGACGGAATATTAAGAGTAGCAGAGGTGAAGACAAAGAGAGGAACCCGCCTGCGAAGTTATAAAAATATTTGCCCACTTCCTCTTAATGGAATATTTACTTATTGACGAGGACTAGTATACACGGCATCGCGCGACCACAGCTGTACATCAAGACCACTTCAAATTTGGCCACCTACAACCACGCGCGCTATTACTTTAGTCCTCCTCCATTCAGACTTTGTAGAATTTGGATAAATCATTATTATACAGTTCACTTAGGTTTTTTATTTATAAAGATCACCAGCAGTATTGAAAGCTAACTTCTACATAATCCCAATTGGTTTGAGCAAAAACGGTACACGATATAGTAATTCAGTGGAGTGATTTCACACATGACGTGCGAAAATGAACTTTAACCTCTAGATCAAAATAATTTTAGAGGGCAATTTTACACATCGTTGACTCCAGTACATTCAACTTTACCTGTTATGATTGTGTTTTGTGACATTTCTTTGTATTCTTTTAAGAAAATACTAAAGATATTGCTGCGGTGAAATATAATATCTCATTTCTTTTAGAATATTTTTTCACGCTTTTCTCGTCTTGAGAAAGTCAAATGAACTTTATTATTATCGTTACAAAGTAGTGCAGTAACAATAAAAATAATGAGATAATAATGAGCTTCGTCATTACATAGCGAGGAAAATCTAGTATTCAAACTTATTTGAAACTTTTTCTTGATACTTAATCATGAAAAAGTTCATAAAAAGTCAGGTTGAGACTTCCTTACCGATACTATATATATAAAGTCCTTCGAATTTCGTTCACTGCGCAGGGCAGGACTATAGTGCACGACCGTACGTGCAAACACTGGTTAAATCTTTATTCTCCCGCTCTCACAGTTTGAAACTCAGATCATAGAAAGTTTGAAAGGACGGCAGTTCCACACGATCAGAGAGAGATTTTTTTTATAGGATCGGATGACAAACGAGCACACAATCCACCTGATGGTAAGTGGTTACTGTGACCCATAGACATCTACATCTATCCTCAATAAAGACTCAAGATGCAAATGCGTTGTCACCCGTGAGGACTAAGATGGAATGCCTCTTTGCCAGTGAAAAGGGTCTCCGGTTCTCTACACTCACCATACGAAACACAGCAGCGTTAAGCTGCTATCTTACGCTGGTTTTCTGTGAGAGCGTGGTCCTTCCCCGGTCGAGCCGACCCATTCGTGTTACAACCATAATATAGCTGCAGCAAAAGATTAGTCGTAGTACCAACAACTTATCGTGCTTTCCGATGCACGGGGTACGACCGTACAACAACACCGCTAAGTTTTGACTCCGGGATGCTATTGAGAATTTCTTGGCAGAAAACTCAACCAATAACCATTGGACTAATGAGGCAGTAAGCGATGCTGTGCAGTATTTTGGAATAAAATCATGCTGTATTTTTTTTACAATATCCATTCGTAAGTAAAAAAAAAATATTATAATTATAAATAAATACTGGCCCATCAGATGATGTTCTAATCTCTGAATAATTAAAAATTAAAAATTTTGTTCAACCGACTTCAATATAAATTATAAAGAATAACTCAAAAACTAATGATCAGACTTTGAACAAATTTATATATAGTACCACACGTGAGAAGCACCAGCTTTCAAATAAAAACAAAAATAATCATCGAAATCGGTTTACCCAGAAAAAAGATATGAGGTAACACACAAAAAACACATACAGTCGAATTGAGTACCACATCCTTTTCGAAGTCGGTAGAAAACTTGAACTTAGCGCCATCCACCGGGTTCAAATTGGTGATTTTCAAGCTTACCGGTACCACTCGTGAACCTTTATATATTTTATAGTGTTCTTGTCTCATTGGGATATGTAAAAATACATATTAATAGATAAAATATAATGAAAATGAATAAAAAGTACATATTAAATCGAATTATAATAATACATTTACTATTATCATTGTGGAGTATATCTGTAGTATTCTTGTCTCATTTGGACGTATAAATAGATATAAAAAATTAAAAGTAACATAAAATATTGTAAAATATGTATTTTGAATATAATAATAAATATAATATAATAAATAAATAGAAACCCAACTTGACGGAAGCCCCCAGGAGGGAATAAACTATTTTATTTTATATTTATTTTATATTATTATTGTTAACAATTTCCCTATACACAAGGAAAAATAATTGGTGCTTCTTCTACATTTATTTCTTCAGAATCATGTTATAAAATGGGTTTTCCAACAACATACTTTGATTCCATAACTACCACAAATCCCAAGGGTCAATTAAAAATGAATACGTTGAAAACAAACACTCTATAACAACTCTGTCGTACTCATTAATCATTTGTTATTTATCTGCATTATATTTCTCTAGAAACCAAGATCTTATAAAAATATTTTAATCTTATTTATTTTTGATTCCCCGGTCGGCAATTTATTGTTTCTAAAGTAAACCTATATAAAAAAATTATTCATATTCATTATTGAAGCTTTTTAGTTAAACCAATTAAAGAAAAGCTATCGATATTCATGAAAAGCACTACGCAGCAAGGTCCTAAAATATTAATTCTTAAATAATGAAATTTTATAGGAATTTTACAAAGCGGTTCCTTAAGTATTTTGATATAAAATTATTTATATTTTGTCGAATTAATAAAGATTTGGAGAAATTTAATATCAGTCACTACAAAACTAATTAAATTTATCTAATTTGTGTAATTCAATCAAATCCCAAAGTTCCCGTCTAAGTCGTAAATACAAACATTTCCATTTGCCCTAATTCAAATTGCTAAAGTTTCAACTTATTGAACTCCTTATGACGATCATAAGAAAATTTCAATCAATTTATATGAAGGCCATTTAATGGTCTGTATATAGAATCGCCAAATAAGAAGTATTATGCAAATTATTTTATAAAATTAACTATATGTAAAAAAAATTACAAGGTAATATTTTCAAAAAAAAAACTTTATTTAGGCTTGGCAATTACGTGTGGAATATGTCATCTGCCCAATGTCCTACTCCAGAAGCATGATAGATGTGAGAGCTCTTTTCATCGCGTTTCTCATCATATTTTCGCACACTTCCGGTGTTATCCCACTGACTGCGTCTGGGATATTCTATTTTAAGTGTTGTAGATTCATCAGCTTGCTAGCATAGTCACGTCCCTTCACATAGCCTCACAGAAAAGTGTCAAGAGCTGTTAAATCCGATGAATTTAGGGGGCAATCAATATCACCAATTCTCAATAATTTCAAAATTAATTGACCTGAATTTTTTTTGTCAATGTTTCGATTGTGTCACGTGCCGTATGCCACGTGGCTGCGTCTTGTTGGAACCACACACATATTTCTAAGCCTCTCTGATTTATTTGAATCAAAAAATTATTGACAATCCCACGGTAAGCATCTCCATTAACTGTTACAGCAGCACTCATAGCATCTTTAAAGAAGTAGGGTCCAATTACTCCTCGTGACTAAATTTCACACCAAACTATTATCGACGTGAATACAGTGGTTAGAAGACTGTTCTGGCTGTTCCCAATAGCGCGAATTTTGCTTATTGACAAATCCACGGAGGTCAAAATGGGCTTCATCACTCATAATGATTTATTGATGAGTCTGGGTGACTTTCCAATTTGGTTAAACTAAAACTGCTAAAGTTACGTCGGCTTTTATGGTCCCGAGTTTTAAGTTCTTGAGTTATCTGAACCTTATAGGGGAAAAGGTTCAGGTCTTTAATATATTGTAGGGATGTCCTCTTAATTTCCAATCGTTGAGTGCGTCGCGTGGTAGACAATGTTGGATATTCGGCTACGCTTTCACAAACACTTTGAACATTCTGCTCCCCACGATCTCTTATGGCACTACTACTCAAATTTATCACCAAACAAGTTTTGTTAGCCGCAAAAATAAGTGATTTCTACTGAAAATTGGTAGCAATTTTCTCAGCATTTTCGTAATAAAATAATGATTGGAGTAGAAAGTTTTGATAATTAAAATTCATTTCTCAAGGGAAAAGCCACCCAAGGTATAATCCGAGGTGATGCAATAAGGACGATTCAATTCACAATGACATTCCGGAAAATTGGTTATTTTGTAACACCTAAGGTATAACGGTGATGCAATAAGGAGTTTGGACGTCGTATATAGCTAACCCGGACTGTCTGCGTTTTTAATTACGTTATTAATTTATGGTAAGAGCTACGCCAAAACAGCTTACAGTTTTGACTATTGAAGTGGTATGCTTGGATTTTATTTTATTAATCAGTTGGCCTATCTCTTGGAACTGGGTCTTCTCTGTAGTGTTTAAGAAGATCTAGGTCCAAGGAATTATAAATATTTTTTCTCCGCAAACAGGCAAAAACAGCGTGATGATCTCTTCCACTTCATAATACGCTCCATAATTCTAACAGTTATTTTAATAGTTAGTTTTTTTTTTGGAAACCAGTTATGTTTTATATTAATATCACACGAAAATAAATTAAATGACGAAAAAAAAAAGATTTGTTTTGTGTTATGTAAGACTCTATTTACATGACAAACACAAACTTCAAAATTCTTGAGTAGCGGCCGTTCAAAATATACGCCGCTAAATATAATCTGCACTTTCCGCCGAACGATTGCCACTCAGGATGCTTAACCAATAATAATTTTAAAACTAGTTAAATATTTTAGGCTTTATGATATTTACTAAAAAAATTGAAGAGAAACGTACTAACCCGCAATAGCCAGTTGCATTATGAAGAAATTCATTCTGCTCTTCCTCGCATTAGTGCAGAGTAATGCAGCAATCACCGATGCATTAAGCACCACTATCGAAACGAAGAGCACCCACATCACCGTGAACTGAATTGACTGGAACAAAACATAAAATACAATTAAAAATTGCTTGTATTTATTTATTTATTTTAAATATAAATGTGTTTTGAATTTGCTGCTAATTGGTAAATTCTGTTTCTTATTTACTTAAAAATACTTAATACCATTATATTCTATAAATGTACATTGCTTTGCTACAAGGTATAATTGGTTTTAAAAATTGTTGTCCTCTAATTTCCATCGAATAAACTGAGTTGCTTTAGTCACGATCATCATCTTTATAAATATATGTATTACGTTTTTGTTTTTTAAAAAAAAAATACGTAAAAATGCTTCCAGATACGGTCGCTAAAATGTTTCCCGTAAATACTAATAGTCGGTCCTCATTCACCTGCATCAACTTTTGCATCAAGTAGAGTCTCTAATAATGCTTGATTTAAAGATTTAAGTCAGGTGAAACTTTCATCAATAACCAACAGTTACAAAATAAAAATTAAATATTTCTTTATTCTATTAAAATTATACAGCTGTTCACAAGAAAACTAAAAATTGGTAAATTCATTGGCTAAATTTGATTTCACAGCTTATTTCAATATATACCATCAAACTAAATTTAAAATATGCGTTTAAAAAAATTCGAGAAAATCTCTAATATTATAGTAAAATGCCAATAAATTTTCTGCTGACCGTTGGCTTAATAACTGTTAAGTCTATTAGACTTGGAAACTACCCTAATCCTGAATTCTTAACCCAATCAGAGCCAAAATTTTGTACAAGATCTTCTATTATATTTTATACACTTCATCTGTCGTGTGATGACGGCGTTAGAGAATCCGTAGGTATCGTTAGAGGCAACTATGGGGACTGCCAGAAAATTCTATGGTTTCTGATATGTGGCGGCATAAACATCTTGTATAAACGAGCACACAGTCCACCTGGTAAGTGGATGCTGTAGACCTACATTTACCCTTAATTAAGAATCGAAATGCAAAATGCGCTGTCCCCCTGAGGAACTAAGATGGAAAGCCTCAATTCCAGTAAAAAGAATTCCCGGTTTTCTACACTAACTATACGAAACACAACAGCATTAAGTTGCTATGTGAGAGCGTGGTCCTTCCCCGGTCGAGCCAACCCATTCGTTGGTCGTGGATCTACCACGTACGTTAGCTATAAAATACATAGATTAGCGACAAGCAATATAATAATGTGTTAAAGTAAACCCACACACATCATGCAAATAAAATAAATAAATAAAGGTGCTAGGTACTAGGCTCTGGTACTGATATCTTCAAACCGCCTATTAAGCGTAACTTGTCTAGCGTGAACATCACGGCAAATCATCCCTACAGCAGGAAAGGCCATGTCCAGCAACTTTCTCTCGCACTTTTACGAGCTTATGCACAAGTAGAATAAGATAATTATGTTTTATGTTTTTGTAAATGATTCTTACATTTGTACAAAAATATACTGCCCCTATGAACTTCTTTGTCTTTGTTGGATGTATGTATTATTTTCTATATACTTAGTTTTTGAGTAATGCTGTTTAGTGATTCTCTTTGTCTCTGACGTTGTATCTTTCTTAATCTACCTTTGATTTTAAATACAGGCGCTACGTTAGGACAAGTGAGTGTTTATGTTTTGAAGCGATTTGCAAATAGGCGGAGATTTACTACTGTATTTTTTATTTGTAAATGTTACGCGAAATGTTCGTCAATTATTGTGAACAGATTTTGATTTCTCTTTTTTTATTAAATAGGTTGTAATTCAAGGATGTTTCCATACGATTTTTTGCGGGAAAACTTCACCCTTAGGATTGTAAAACAGGGGATGAATTTTAATATATTTAAAAGAGTAGGGCTGTTCGTCGTTGTCGAAGACGTAATGCAATAAGTATTGACACCTTTATGTCCTCTTTGATGTCCTTCTGTTTGCAACAATCACATATTAATATTAACCATGAATAAACCATAAGATTTTTTCAAGTTCACAAACAGTAAGTTTAATAATATTTTACGCGCGTGTTACAATGTTTATGAATGTAGTAGAAACATGCTGCAGCTTATTAGTACGAATGGATCGGCTCGAACAGAAAAGAACCACGCGTGCTCATAATACTCGTACTAGCGTTAATTAGCAGCACAATGCCGCTGCGTTTTGGAAACTCTTTTTACTGGTAACGAGGTATTCCACCTTAAGGCGACACATAGAAAACCGTTGAAGCGGGCTATCGCCGGACTAACCATAGTAAAACATAATTTCTATAAAAACTTCAAAAACGCCGTCATAAGGTCTAAAATTGCGTAGCGCCCGTGACTATTAAAACCGCTTAGAAATCGCGTAGAATCTTAAAATATTTAAAAAAAATTATTGATATTGGCAATCAAAATAATGAGCAAGTAAACTACGAATATTTTATTTATTTATTTATTTATTCTTTATTGCATTCCTTAAAACAAAAGAATACAAAGGGCGATATTGATGTTACGAATGTATTCGAGTGGTTTCCAAGCATATAGATTAAGTAATTTCGTTGTAATTTCAACTATAGTGATTTTTTAGAGGTGTTTTCGCAAATTATTATGATCGAGTCAAAATTTTACAATCGTGTTTATGTGCTCAGCAAACTCAAGATAAAGACACGAATTTACCTATATCAAAATTCCGGTTTCGTTAGTCATGTCATACTCCTATACTATTCGATGAAAGGAGGTGCAGTTTTTCGCGGTGTCGCCTTAACCTCAACGGTAACAGCGCAATTTTAATTCATAATCGAGGTAAGATGAAAGTTGTTATTGACTGGATTATCATCTGAGTGCTCGTTTTTATCTTCACTTATTTAAATAATTTTCAAGTTGTCTACCATCTATCGACCACCTTTGCTGTCGTCAAGTAGCAGTGTCTAGTTCAAGAATAGTAAAACCAGTATTATACGTGAGCTAAAATAAAGGAGGACACGGGTAAAAAAATATCTTTATTTGGAAGTCTTTCTTTATTTGAAACTGGTTACTAGTTTCCATGGACTACAGTATCAGCCATCGTGTAGTGCCTGTCTGCCAATTTGTAAATCTAATTATTTAAAAAATATATAAATGAAGGGTTATTTTGTAATACAATACTAATAAATGTTTAATGTTTTCGTATTTAATACAAAAGAACTTAGTAAATAACAAGAACTTTGCAAAATGTCACCACTTTTCGGAACTTCTGTAACGCAACTGTTAATACGTTCTAAATATAATATGGGTCTCGTGGCATTAGCATTTTCGCCTAGTACAATACTGATACGGAATTTAATACTTTGTTATGTTCGGTAATTTACTTCATTCCCAAAGATTTTCTTTTTGTTTTGTTTTACTTTATTTTCTACACCCCATCTTATCGATAAACTTACTCGCGACGTTGTATAAGTTGTATTGTATACGTTGTGTTGCATACGTATACTAGAAATTTCGAAGCAAAAGATAATTTGATTATTTGAAATTATATGAAATAATACATTTATATTAAATTATAAATGTCAGTTTATTCCAAATAAAATACCGTTTAGAAATGAGGTTCCTGTGAACGGAATAAAAATGAAACGAAACAAAGTTCATAGGTTATGTCCTTTGACATTATTTTTGAGATTAATGTTACAATAGTCATCATTACAGCCTTTCATGAGTCCACTGCTGAACATAGGCCTCCCCCAAAGAATGCCACAAAGCACGGTCCTGAGCCACCTGCATCCATCGACTTTCTGCATGTCATACCAGGTCATCACTCCATCTCGTGGGGGGTCGCCCTACACTTCGCCTACCGGTACGAGGCTGCTACTCGAGAACATTTCTTCCCCATCGGTTGTCGGTTCTTCGAGCTATATGGCCGGCCCACGGCCACTTAAGCTTACTAATCTGTTAGGCTATGTCGGTTACTCTGGTTCTACTGCGGATATACTCATTTCTAAATTTATCACGCAGAGAAACCCCGAGCATAGCCCCCACCATAGCTCGCTGAGCGACCTTGAGCTTCCTCATACGGCTAGCAGTGAAGGACCACGTCTCAGTTCCGTAAGTCATCACTGGCAACACGCACTGGTTGTACAATTTCGTTTTAAGGTTTTGACGTATGTCTGACGAGAAGATGTGTCGTAGCTTCCCGAACGCTGCCCAGCCGAGTTGAATCCGTCGATTGACCTATCAGTCGAAGTTGGACTTACCTAGTCGGACTATTTGTCCCAGGTAAACATACTCGTCAACAACTTCGAGCTTAGTGCTCCCAACAACTACCGGCATAGGTGTGACATGGACATTAAACATGATCTTTGTTTTGTCCATGTTCATTTTAAGACCTATTCGTTGGGAGACACTATTGAGGTCATTGAGCATGGTGCTTACGTCCTCCAGCGATCCTGCCATAAGGACTATATCGTCGGCAAATCTAAGGTGAGTGATGTACTCGCCATTGATGTTAATACCGTATCCTTTCAAGTCCAGAAGCTTGAAAACGTCTTCCAATGCAGCGGTGAAGAGTTTCGGGGATATAACATCACCCTGTCACCTCTCTGCAATTGGATAGGTTCTGTACTCAGATAGCCATCGTAGCTCTACTGTACAAACACTTCAGCACTTCGATATACCGACAGTCAACTTTAACCGCTGAAGGGACTGCAGCACCGCCCACATTTCGACGGAATCAAACGCTTTCTCATAGTCCACATACGCCAGATATAGTGGCAAATTGTACTCTTCGGACATCTGTACCATTTGCCAAGGTGGTATGTATGTTCTCTATGGTGCTAAAGCCCTTTCAGAAATCGGCTTGTTCGGGAGGCTGGAAGTCGTCAGGTCTACGCGCGTGACGTTTCGTAATGACTCTCGAAAACAGCACGTAGACGCGGCTCAGAAGGGAAATCGGTCTGTAGTTATTCAAGAGAGCGTTGTCACCTTTCTTGAAGAACAAGACTTCTGCTCCACGTGTAATGCCACCATGGAGGACGGAATTAAAGAGCTTCTGAAGGACTTCAAGTACCGGTCTTCCACCCGCTTTCAGAAGAT